CCAAAAAGAGGAACCAAAGAGGCTCACACCAAGACATATCATACTTAAAATGCCAAATGTTAAAGACAAAGAAAGAATCTAAAAATCAGCAAGAGAAAAGCAGTTAGTCACCTACAGGGGCCCACCCATATGACTGTCAGCTGATTTCTCAACAGAAACTTAATAGGCCAGAAGGGAGTGAAAAGATATATTCAGACGAGATCGGGCGCGTTCAGGGTGGTATGGCCGTAGACGTGAAAAGATATATTCAATGTGATGAAAAGCAAGGACCTACAACCAAGATTACTCTAGTCAGCAAAGCTGTAATTTATAATTAAAGGTCAGATAAAAAGCTTCACAGACAAGAAAAAGCTAAAGGAGTTCATCACTACCAAACCTGTATTATAAGAAATATTAAAGGATTTTCTGCCGAAACCGGTTTGGCTCAATGGATAGAACGTTGACTTGGGGACGTAAGGGACCCAGGTTTGATTCCAGTCAAGGGCATGTACCTTGGTTGTGGGCATATCCCCAGTAGGGGGTGTGCAAGAGGCAGCTGATTTATGACTCTCTCATCGATGTTTCTAACTCTCTATCTTTCTCCCTTTCTCTCTGTACAAAATCAATAAAATATATATTTTTTTAAAAAGAAATATTAAAGAATTTTCTTAAAGAAGAAGGAAGAGGAGAAGGAGGAGGAGGGGGAGAAGAAGAAAAAAATAAAAAGCATGAACAAAAAAATGGCCATTAAATACATATCTATCAACAATTGAGCCTTAGTCAGTTTGGCTAAGTGGATAGCATGTCAGCCTGTGGATTAAAGTGTCCTAGTTCAATTCTATTCAAGGGCACATACCCAGATTTGGGGCTTGATCCCCAACAGGGAGCATGCAGGAGGCAGCCAATCAATGATTCTCTCCCATAGTTGATGTTTCTGTCTCTCTCTCTCCCTCTTCCTCTATCCTTCCTCTCTGAAATAAACTTAAAAATATATTAAAACAAACAGACAAGAAAACCCCAATTGAATAAAAAAATAAAATAAATGAACAAGGAATCTAAAGAACAAAATAAACTGATGAATAAATAGAACCAGAGGCCAGGAAACAGAACAGACTGGCAAATCTCGGAGGGAAGCGGGGAGGGTTGCAGGACACAGACAATTGGGTGGTGAAAGTCTGGGGCAGAGCGGGATCTGGGTGGAGGAGGGCAATGGCGAGGAAAAGGGGGGTCATCTGAAATACTCTCAACCATGAAGATATAAGAAAATATTAAAAAAAGAAAATACATAGGAATTAAGTTAACCAAGGTGGTGAAAGACATACAATGAACAACTACAAAAATTATTGCTGAAAAAAATTTAAAGACATAAATAAATGGGAAGGCATTCTGTGTTCATAGATTGGAAAACTTAATGTTAAGTTGACAATATTGCTCAAAGTGATCTACAGATTTAATAAAACCCCTATCAATAACCTAACGATTTTTTTTGGGCAAAAATAGAAAAATCCACCCTAAAATTCATATGGAATTTGAAGAGACCTCAAAAGGCCAAAACATCTGGTAAAAGAAGAACAAAGCTGGAGGATTCACATTCTTTATTTCAAACTTTACTTCAAAGTCACATTAATAAAAAACAGTGTGATACTAGCATAAAGATTGATATATAGCCAGCCGGTGTGGCTCAATGGTTGAGCTTCGACCTATGAACCAGGAGGTCACACTGGGATTAAAGATCTAAATATAGAACATTATTAAAGACTAGTAGCCTGGCATATGAATCTGTGTGTCACTAGCTTGCTGCTGCCCTCCAGTAACTCTCTGCCCACTGCCTTGTCCCCCTGCTGATCTGGGATCTGGTCATTATGCCTGCATATTAAATATTTATTATATAGAAAGACTGGCCAGTGTGGCTCAGTGGTTGAGTGTTGACCTATGAACCAGGAGGTCATGGTTTGATTCCTGGTTAGGCAACAGGCCCAGGTGTGGGCTTCATCCCTGGTAAGGGGCCTGCTGGAGGTGTGGATCAATGATTCTCATTCATCATTGATGTCACTATCTCTCACTCTCCCTTCCTCTCCGAAATCAATAAAAACATATTTTTAAAAATTCTTATATGAGAACATAGTGTAAAAGCTTTAACATTAGGTTTAGCAATGATTTCTTGGCTAGGAAACCAAAAGCACAGCAACAAAGGAAAACAGATAAATTGGACTTTATAAAAATTAAAAAAGTTTGTCTATAGTCCTAACCGGTTTGGCTCAATGGATAGAGCGTCAGCTTTTGGACTGAAGTGTCCCAGGTTCAATTCTGGTCAAGGGCATGTACCTTTGTTGTGGGCTCATCCCCAGTAGGAGGTGTGCAGGAGGCAGCTGATCAATGTTTCTCTCATGGATGTTTCTAACTCTCTATCCTTCTTCCTTGTTCTCAGTCAAAAAAATCAATAAAATACATATTTTTAAAAAGTTTGTGAATCAGGAGAATCCAAGATGGCTGCACAGGTAAATACCTAGCCACAGCCGCACACAACAATTTCAATAAAATATATCTAAAATATAAAATGGACATTACCCAGAACTACAGGAAAGTCGACTGACTGAAATTCTACAACAAGAAGCAGGAGAAAACCAGAAGGAAGCGTGGAGGAGCTGTAAAAGCCTAAGGTACGGAGACACACGGCACGCGGAGAGGACGGAGCCAGAGAGGAGGGCAGCTGAGTGCCTGGCTGGCGTTCCCTAGTGGGAAGGAGATAAAAGCTCCAACTGTGCTGGGCCCCAGTTCCGACTGCTCTGAACCCCAGTCCTAGGCCAGACCCCAGGGACTCAGGGTCATCCATAGGGAGCTGGGCTGTAAGGCAGAACCCCGGGGGAGCGGCAAAAGGAGGTCCCAGAAGTGTGCACATTGCGTGCAGGGAAGGGACAGTTGGCGGTGCTGCGGGATTGCCCTAGTGGGAAGGAGACAGGGGCTCCAAACTGCTCTGAACGCCACCTCCAATCCCACTTCCAACTGAACTGAACCCCAGTTCCGGGCTCATTGGGGGAGAGCATAGACTGTTTGGTAGCAGGCGAAAATCGAGGGCACCTTTCTTTCAGAGGTGCTTGCAGTGAGTACTGAAGGACCCTGAGACTCAGGAGCCGCATAGAGTGGGGCTGACAGAAGCCAAGGCTATAGGCTCCACCCTGAAACTCTGCCCCATCGGGGAAGCTGCAAAAATGCTGAGACAACGAAATATTATAGAGCACAAACAAAAGAAATGGAGGACAAAAAGCGACTGGATATAGAGTTCAAATCTACGCTTATAAGGTTTTTCAAGAATTTCCTAGAAAAGGCCGATAAGACCTATGAGGATATGAAAAGGGATCAACTAGAATTAATAAGGAATCAATGAGAAATAATAAGGGATCAACAAGAAATAAACAATATATTGTCTGAAATAAAAAATATTATACAGAGTCCTAAAAACAGAATGGAAGATCGCAAGAATCAAGTCAAAGATTTGGAACATAAAGAGCCAGAAGACAATCCTCCAGAGAAGCAAGAAGACAAGAGAATCCAGAAAACTGAAGATAATGTAAGAAACCTCTGGGACAACTTTAAGCAAACTAACATCAGAATTATGGGGGTCCCAGAAGATGAAAGACATCAAGATATCGAAAACATACTGCAAGAAATAGTGACAGAAAACTTCCCCCACCTGGTGAAAGAATTAGACTTACAAGTCCAGGTAGCGCACAGAACTCCCAACAAAAGGAATCCAAAGAGGACCACACCAAGACAAATCATAATTAAAATTCCAAGAGCAAAAGGCAAAGAGAGAATATTAAAAGCAGCAAGAGCAAAGCAGGTAGTTACCTATAAAGGAGCACCTATACGATTGTCAGCTGATTTCTCAACAGAAACAATGGAGGCCAGACGGGAATGGCAAGAAATATTCAAGGTGATGAATAGTAAAAACTTACAGCCAAAAATAATCTACCCAGCAAAGCTATCACTCAGAATGGAAGGTCAGATAAAGAGCTTCACTAATAAAAAAAAGCTAAAGGAGTTCATCACCACCAAATCAGAATTATATGAATTGCTGAAGGGGGTTCTTTCAGAAGAGAAAGTAAATAAAGATAAAAACTATGAACAACAAATACGTAACTATCAACAAGTGAATCTCAAAACCAAGGAAATTAAAAAAAAATCTGATGAACAATATTAACTGGTGAATATAATAGAATCAGAGGAATGGAAGGGGATTGAACTGATGATTCTTGGGTAAAAGGGGAGAGAGGGATTGGGAAGATACTGAACATAAACTGTGCACCTATGGATGAGGACAATGGGGGTTGGGGAAAGGGCAGAGGGTGGGATGGGAACCTGGTGGAGGAGAGCAATGGGGGAGGGGGGGAAATGAACATTTGTAATAATATGAACAATAAAAATTTATTTAAAAAAAAAAGTTTGTGGCCGAGACTGGTTTGGCTCAATGGATAGAGCGTCGGCTTGGGGACTGAAGGATCCCACCACAGAGAGCAGAGAGGAACCAGTCACCAGGTGACCTTGGAGCAGCTCAGGGAGCAGGGGTCTGACCTGATTACCACACCTCAGAGGTGGTGTCCTCCTTTAGTTTGGGGAAAAGAGGTGAGCTTGTTCAAAGCCTTGTATGTTCCTTGTAGCACATGGAGCAGGTAACAGAGAAGAGGTGACAGAAGGAAAGTGTTAGTGACAGAAAAAGCAACTTGACCTTGAGGACATTTGTTTTCCCCTCTGGGAAGCCCCCTCCCTCCACCACTTCACAGTTTCTGGGGCTGAGAGAGCCCCCTCCTCACTTTCCATGGCTGGACCCTAGCTCTGCCATGAGAGATCAGAAGAGTAAGGGAGGGGAGTCTACAGAGATGTAGTGGGAGGGCTCAGGGAAGACTGTGATTTGCTTGTGTCTATGGCCACAGGATGGGAGACAACACCCTCCAGGTTCTTTTGTGAAAACCAGACAGATTTGCACCCCAGAGCCTAGTGCTCATGGTCCAGGAGGCACTTACCATAGACTGTGATATTCTTGATCATGGTCCTATTGAGCCCAGTGTTAGAGTTATGGGCAAGGCAGGTATAGGATCCACTATTTTTCGAAGTGATGTTGGAGATAAAGAGCTCCTGTGTAGTGCTCAGGAGCATCCCATTGATAAGCCAAGAATACTGTGCAGGTGGGTTAGAGGCTGCCTGGCAGGAGAGGTTGAGGTTTGTCCCACTTAGGTAATAGGAGTCGGAGGGGGAAATGGTTGGGGCGTCCGGGCCATCTGGAATAAAGAGAAACAAGTCACATATGATGTAATCAGAGGGAAGGGAGGCTCCTGGTCTGTGTAAGGGCCACACTCTCCTTCTGAGCTGAGTCACAGCCTTGTTTTTTTAAAAAAAAACCCCAACCAGCCAAAACCGGTTTGGCTCAGTGGATAGAGCGTCAGCCTGCAGACTGAAAGGTCCCGGGTTCGATTCAGGTCAGGGGCATGTGCCTTGGTTGCGGGCACATCCCCAATGGGGGGTGTTCAAGAGGCAGCTGATCGATGATTCTCTCTCATTGATGTTTCTAGCTTTCTATCCCTCTCTCCCTTCCTCTCTGTACAAAATCAATAAAATATATTAAAAAAAAAAGTTTGTGAATCAAAGGACACTGTCAACAGAGTGAAAAGTCACATGGAATGGGATGAAATATTTGAAAATAATATATCTGATAAGGGATTAATATCTAGGATATAGAAATAACGATTAAAAATCAACATCAACAAAATCCAATTATAATATGGCCAGAGGAACTGAATACACATTTCTTCAAAGAAGATAAACAAATGGACAATGAGTATATGAAATGCTTAGCATCTCTAATCATTAAGGAAATAGAAATCGAAAGTACAATGAGGTATTACCTCACATCCACTGAGATAGCTACTACTGAAACAAAGCAAAATATAAAAACAAAAACAAAATAGTAACCACCTGGAAAACAATGTGTCCACAGGATGGGGAAAAATGGGAACTTTTGTGCATTGCTGGCAGGAATATAAAATGGTTCAGCCACACAAAAAGGTATGGCAGTTCATAAAAAACTGAACAGCGCTAGCTGGGTCACTCAGTGGATAGAGCACTGACTGGTCCTGGCTCAGTTCTAGTCAAGGGTATATACCTTGGTTGCAGGCTTCATCTCTGGTCCTGGTTGGGGTGCATGTGGAAGGCAACCAATTAATGTTCTCTTTTGAATTATGTTTCTTCCCCTCACTTTCACTTTCTCTCAAAAATCAATGGAGAAATATCGTAGGGTGAGAATTAACAACAACAACAAAATTTGAACAAAGAATTACTATACTCAAAAGAATTGAAAGCAGGGATTTGAACACCCTTGTTCTTAGCAGCATTATTCATAACACACAAAAAGTAGAAACAACCTAGAAGCTCATGGATGGATGAATGATAAATGTGATAGATACATGCAATAGAATATTATTGAGTCTTAAAAAGCAATGAAATTGTAATATACACTATAACATGGATGAAACTTAAAGATATGCTAAATGAAAATAACCAGACCAAAAAGGTCAAATATCAGATTCCACTTATATGAAGTACCTAGAATTGTCATATTCATAGACAGAGAAGTAGAATGATGGTTTCCAGGGCTTGGGGTTTGGAGGTGGGAAGCTATTGTTTAATGGGTACAGAGTTTTAGTATGGTAAGATGAAAAAGTTCCTAATGGATAGTAGTAATGATTGCACAACAATGTGAATGCACTTAATACCACTGAGCTATAGACTTAAAATAGTTTAAAATGGTAAAGTTTATGTATAGTTTATCACATAAAAATGACTATAAAAATGACTATTAACATTTTTTAATAGTTATTTATATATCCTGGATATTAATCCCTTGCACAGCCCTGTGCAAGGTCACAGTGAATGACAGACCCAGGGTTGGAAACTGAGCTCTTAACCACTTTGCCATTCTGTGTACTATAATGTCTCCTGATTTGTAATATGTTCCCTGTGTCTTCTGTCCATTTGTCACACCATTGGTAGAGCAATCCTCCCAGGGAGACATAGGAGGGGACAAGGAGTCACTTACAGTATATGTCCAGCCTGAAGGGGTCACTTTTGCTGGAACTGACAGGGTTGAAGACCTCACACTGATAAGCCCCAGCATCCTCCCTCCTGACGGGGTTAATCGTAAGGGTGCTGTTGTCCCGGGACAGCTTCATCCTGTCTGTGAGCAGGAGACTCTGGTTCTTGAAGAGCCACTCGATGAAGATCCCCGTGTCATTTGTGAGGCAGGACAGGACCGCGGTGTCCTTATTCTCTGTGACTGTGGCATTGCTGGCTCGGAGGGTGGGCTTCCTCACTGGCTCTGTGGAGAACAGAGGAAGTGAGTAATTGAGAGTGGTTCCTTCCTTAGAGATGTCAGCCACTCACAGGTCACAGTGATCTCTGTAAAGGTCACCAGTGGAGGACTCTGGCCTCTGCAGGGAGAAGACCTTTGTTCAGGTGACATTCTGTAAGGAGAGAGCTATACCTCCCCTCTTCCATCCAGATCACCTCAGGGTGACCCCTGACCTGTCTGTCACCCTGGACATCTATAGTATCCACACCAGGAACCTCTTTTCAGACCGAATGTCCAAATCTTCATGATCAGGTGGAATTTTTTTACCTTTTTTTCTTCCCTCATTTTATTTTATTTTTTAAATCCTCAACTGAGGATATATTTTTCCGTTGATTTTTTGAGAGTGGAAGGGTGGCGAGAGAAAGAGAGAGAAACATCAATCTGAGAGAGAAGCATTGATCGGTTGCCTCCTGCACATGCCCTGATTGGGACAGGATCAACTTGAGACATGCCTGTGACTGGGAATGAAACCCAAGATGCTTCGGTGTGCTGGCTGATACTTTAACCACTGAGCACCAGTGGTTAGGGCTACCCATTGACTTTTGTGTGACTCTTTCCCAGACCTTTCTGTGACTTTCTAAATACTTACAACCCCCTCTCTGGTATGGTGGCTACACACTGAGATGGAAGGCATTTCCCTTTTGTTAAGTAACTTATTAGAGAATATAGCGCAGCCAGTCTTCATGATCCTAGGACCTAGAGAAGTTTCAATCTAAAGGATTTCTCTGTCTGAATAGGACGTTCACTTCCTGGCCTATGGATTGAATATCAGGGAGAAGGAAGTCCCTAGAGAGAAGCAGTCACAGTTTGAACAAAAGGTGAGTACTCTTAGCTTCCTCCAAAAACTATAAACTATGGCTCTGCTCCTTCATCCCATGAAGGGACTTTGTGGATGAATCTACCGGCTTGTCAGGTATGCACCACTGTTCACTGATCTCCTCAGCAATGTCACATGCGCTCATGTCACACGGTGTTGTACAGCTGAATTCAGTGATAGAACACAGCTTAGAGGGCTTCCCTGTGGCTCACTCTCTCCCCATTTCCATGCAGCCTGGTCTGAAGGAAGCTCTGGTGACATGATTTGGCCGTACTGAGGCCAGGCCACCCATTCACCTTCATCACGGATCCCACCACAGAGAGCACAGAGGAACCAGTCACCAGGTGAGCCTGGAGCAGCGTAAGGAGCAGGGGTCTGACCTGTTCACCCCTCCTCAGAGGTGGTGTCCTCCTTTAGTTTGGGGAAAAGAGATGAGCTTGTTCAAAGCCTTGTATGTTCCTTGTAGCACATGGAGCAGGTAACAGAGAAGAGGTGACAGAAGGAAAGTGTTAGTGACAGAAAAAGCAACTTGACCTTGAGGACATTTGTTTTCCCCTCTGGGAAGCCTCCTCCCTCCACCACTTCATAGTTTCTGGGGCTGAGAGAGCCCCCTCCTCACTTTCCATGGCTGGACCCTAGCTCTGCCATGAGAGATCAGAAGAGTAAGGGAGGGGAGTCTACAGAGATGTAGTGGGAGGGCTCAGGGGAAGACTGTGATTTGTTTGTGTTCATGGCCACAGGATGGGAGACAACACCCTCCAGGTTCTTTTGTGAAAACCAGACAGATTTGCACCCCAGAGCCTAGTGCTCATGGTCCAGGAGGCACTTACCATAGACTGTGATATTCTTGATCGTGGTCCTATTGAGCCCAGTGTTAGAGTTAAGGGCAAGGCAGGTATAGGATCCACTAATATTCAAAGTGATGTTGGAGATAAAGAGCTCCTGTGTAGTGCTCAGGAGCATCCCATTGATAAGCCAAGAATACTGTGCAGGTGGGTTAGAGGCTGCCTGGCAGGAGAGGTTGAGGTTTGTCCCACTTAGGTAATAGGAGTCGGAGGGGGAAATGGTTGGGGCGTCCGGGCCATCTGGAGTAAAGAGAACCAAGTCACACATGATGTAATCAGAGGGAAGGGAGGCTCCTGGTCTGTGTAAGGGCCACATTCTCCTTCTGAGCTGAGTCACAACCTTATTAAAAAACAAACAAACAAACAAACAAAAAAACAAAACAAAAACCAACCATATTCCCCTGTATTCACTTAGCCTGAATCTCAGGCATTAACCTGTTTGTCCCAGTCCCAAGACCTAATCAGATTTGCCTGTACAGGAAGTTATTGCCTCCTGGGTGTCCAGAGTGTGGGTGTGTGTGCGGGGACCTAAGAGGGACAGATGTGGCCTGGCCTCTGACAGTGTGGATTCTGGTGGGCAGCCTGGCCCAGGCAGGGACAGAAGTTACTCACAGAGAACATTCAGGGTGAATGGGTCACTGTGGCCAGCACTCACGGGGTTCTGGGTTTCACACTCATAGGGTCCTGTATCATTCCTTGTGACAAGGAGTAAAGTGAGAGTCCTGTTGTCCAAGGACAGCTGCAGCCTGGCACTGTCCTGGAGAATCTGACTGTTGATCAACCACAGGTAGGTGGTGTTCTCAGTTGGAGGTTCACACGTTAACATGACAGGGTCCTTGTGCTCCTCAGGTTTGGAGTTGTTGCTTGAGATGCTGGGTTTGGATAAGACCGCTGTGCAGATAATAGAGAGGACATTGCTGAGTTTGTACCTTTAATTTCTCCAAAGGCATCTTCAATTAGAGTTGGTGGCTCTTACCTCTCAACTAACTTGAGTCCTGAAAGAATAAGACAATTCTGTGCATCACAAGACAAACAAACACATGAGGACCTGAGTGCTCAGAGGATGTAAGGCCACCTGCTCTATGTCTGGGAGAAAAAGCACAGGCTTTCTCAAGTGTCAGATAACTATCAGGGTTTGATTATGGAAAGACACAGGACTGGGAGTCAGAGACCACCTGGCACCTGTCCTGGCTCCTCACTGACCAGCTGACTGCCTGGCTGACCTTGGGTCTCAATTGGAATATGCAGGTGCTTAGTCTCCTCCAGCTACACAGACCAACATTGCCAGGTTGAGATGTGTTCCCACTGAAGCCTCACATTCCAGGGTTAACCTAATGAAGGGCCACCCATAGTCCTTAAACCCTGAGAAAACTGGGCAGCGTGGCCCTGAACTGGGTGTCTGAGCAGAAACAATACATGGGGAAAAACCAAGATGGTGGCATAAGGTATACACCTGTATGCACTGCCTCTCACAACCACACCAAAACTACAACTATCACCCAGAACCACAAAACGACTATCACCCAGAACCACAGGAAAGCTGGCTGAATATAAGTTCTACAACTAGAAGAAAAGAAAAAGGCATATTGAAACCAGGTGGGACGTGCAGAGGTGTGGAAAAGCAGAGATACGGAGGTGCAAGAATCTGACTGACAACTGGGTGTGCTGTTTTTTTTCTTCTTCTATTGGTAAGGAGATACAAGCTCCCAACTGCTCTGAACTCCAGTTTCTGGTGAGACTCTGGGGACCCAGACTCTTACGAGGAGAAGCTGGACTTTTTGGCATCAGGTCGAAAAGTGAGGGTGGCTTTCTCACAGAAGTGCTCCCAGGAATCATTGTTACTGTGCTGGGGCACAGGATAGGGAGACGCGGAGACACAGAGACAGCTGACTGGCAGGTATCACTGTTTGCTGCACCCAGGTGATTCCCTGAGACCCCGCTCCACCCAATTTACAAACCCATCCAAGCTGTGTGCAGCAGCTTTTGCATATGAATGCCCTGCCCTTTCGCAGCTTAACCTAATAACTGCAGCTTGGTCAGACAGCTCCAAAACTTCTAAACCCCAAACAAAGAGGAGAAATCTGCAGATCTTGCTGTAGCTCTAGCTGGGTGGCCTCAGACAGTAGATGACTTGAACCTTCTTGGAGATCTAAGAGCCAGTGTACCTAGTGGTCATTGGAGATGATACCAGATTTCAACTCCTCACATCCATAAGTGACACACTCAAGAGGCAGACTCAGTGAGTACCAAAGCCCCACTGAAGCAAGACCTGCCCCATAAGGGTGTCTCCAGGGCAGCAGTTCTTCCATTGTAGACACAGCTGGTCCTCACAGCCAATTGGCCTGGAGGTCAATTCCTACCAGTGTACCAATAACAATCAAGGCTTAACTACAACAAGACTGTGCACCCAGGCCACAAAGGATGCACTGAATGTCCACCTCATGTGGTTGGGGAGGCTGAGCCCCACCATACAAAGCCACTCCATCAACACAGGGAAGCAGCCAAAATATGGAGACAAAAAAAAAAAAAAATGTCATGAATGAAAGAATTGGAGGAAAACAAACTACTGGATTTAGAGTTCAAAACCAAAGTTATGAGGTTACTCAATAATCTAGAAACCTCCAAGAAACTTAGTGAGACCTCCAAGGAACTTAGTGAGACCTCCAAGGATCTTAATGAGAATGATAAAGAAATGGAAAAGGACAAGTCAGAAATTAAGCATACACTGTCTGAAATAAAGAATAATATACAGAAATTCAACAGTAGACTAGAGGACCCAAGAATTAAACCAAAGATTTGAAATATGAGGAAGCAAAAAAACACACAACCAGAAAAACTGAAAGAAAAAAAGAATCCAAAAATATGAAGATAGTGTAAGGAGCCTCTGGGACAACTTCAAGCATACCAACATCTGAATTATAGGGGTGCTAGAAGAAGAGAGAGAGCAAAATATTGAAAACCCATTTGAAGAAATAATTACAAAAAACTTTCCCTACCTGGTGAAAGAAATAGACTAACAAGTCCAGGATGCACAGAGAACCCCAAACAAGAGGAATCGAAAGAGGACCACACCAAGACATATCACGCCAAGGGCAAAAGACAAAGAGAGAATCTTGAAAGCAGTTAGTTAACTACACGGGAATACCCATACGACTGTCAGCTGATTTCTCAACAGAAACTATACAGGCTAGAAAGGAGTGGCAAGAAATATTCAAAGTGATGATCAGCAAGAACCTACAATCAAGATTACTCTACCCAGCAAAGCTATCATTTAGAATTCAAGTTCAGATAAAGAGCTTCACAGATTAGAAAAAACAAAAGGAGTTCATCACCACCAAACCAGAATTACATGAAATGCTGAAAGGTATTCTTTAAGAAGAGGAAGAAGAAAAAAAAGGTAAAGATAAAAATTATGAACAACAAAGTAACAACAAATACATATATATCAACAAGTGAATCTAAAAATCAAGTGAATAAAAAATCTGGTAACAGAATAATAAAGTGGTGAATATAATAGAATTATGGGCATAGGAAGGGGTGAATTGACAATTCTTGGGGAACAGGGGGTATGAGGGGTGCGGGAAGAGATTGGACAAAAATCTTACACCTATGGATGAGGACAGCGGTGGGGGGTAAGGGCATTGGTTTTGGGGGGGTGATGGATTGAAGCCAAGATTATTAAAATGTTCCTTTTTTTTTTTTTTTTCCTCATAGCTCCCCTATGAGAGAAGCTATGAGAGAAAAAAAAAGGAACATTTTAATAATCTGAACAATAAAGATTTATTTTAAAAAAGAAAAGAAAAAGATACAATACACAGGAAACCAGAAGCAAGTCTGGTTGTTAGTTCAGTACTCAGGTTGCTGGGCCACGAGATGTGGCTGTCTGCCCAGGAGTTCACTGGTGGTTGACATGATACAGTGACCCCACAAAGGGCAGAGGCAAGTCCAGGAATGATTTAGGAAAGAGTGAGGGATGAGGGGAGCTGGCTGGCATTGGCAGCAGAGCCACACTCTCTGCCCTTGGTCTGTAATGTCCTTTCTGCCACTGCAGAGGGCAGGGATCCTTCCTCAACATTCAAGACAATAGCACCGACAGAAGGGGGGCTAGTGGATGCTGGGGGAGCATGAACTTGTTGAAAATATGGCCCTCATAGGCCATTTGTATTTGGCAGTTATGAGATAGATTTTGAGTTAAACTGTGAAAGAATATGTGAAAATCACTCATGCCCCAAAGAGCACTTAACGTCATAGACCAAGTTTTGCCATCCAACCAGGTCACACTGTTACCAAAGGAAGATGCCACAGTGGGTCTGAAATGAGGGACTCCCTGGGATAGAGAGAAGGTGAGTCCTGCTAAGAGAATAGATGTGCCCTAGGGGTGATCCCAGGCGTCTCTGCTATATAAAGGGAGGTATGAAACCATACTGGTAGAAAGCACAGGTACCATGTTAGTCAATTTAGGGAGTAGGTCCCTCTCTGTTTCTATGGACAGTCAGGCATTTGGGGAGGAGCCCACACATGAGTATGTGGCATGTGCTTTTCCTTGTTTTTCTCAGGAAACAACTGGAGTTTAGTCAAATTCATTCAAATGGGCAGCGTCTCAGAGAAAGCAGAGTGGCTGGTGGATCTCACAGTCTGAGAGGATCCCACTCTGTTGTTAAGGTGTCATCATGAGAACACATGTATGAAATAGTCAGTGAACCAGTCAGATGGTGCAGGGTCACCAGGCTCACACTGGGAAGGTGTCGGGAGCCAGTGGGAGGAATGGGAGCCTCATACCAGGAGGAGGGTGTGATTCATGCAAGAGTCAGGGGTGAAGTATGAACAAGAGCTCTTGTGGACTGAGGCCTGTCCTTCTGCCTTTGACTCCTTGGTTGAGTCATGTAGAGAGTAGGTCAATGGATTACATGTCTCTGTCATGTGGCCTATCCCTCTTCTTGGCTTCATGTGGGGGAAGGAGCCCTAATGGGGCCCAGCAGAAACTTTCTCCAGGTGACCTGGGAAACTGGCTGATGATGGAGCTGAGGCTGCTGCTCCCACTCACTTCTGTGTCCTCTCCTATTGCCTGGGAGGGTGGGCCTGGACACAGATGTTAATAGGACAATCTGGGGAGACTGCACAGTGGGGGAAGCAAAGCAGAGTAAGGTAGTGTGGCTGGAGTGAAGGAGGAGGCAGATGAGGATAATGGAATGAGCAGAGTCCCAGAAATGTGCTTGGTAGTGAGCAGTGCAGTCACAGGTGATTTCAAAGACCCCAGGGACCAAAATCCCACCGCTGTCCCAAGGCAGGACCAGTGCAGGCTGGAACAACCTTCCACAGGGGAACGGACTCACAGTCACCATGAGGCTTGGCTCTTCAGGGCAGTTGGGAAGGGAGGTATTCAGGGACAGATGGTCAGAGGAATGCAACATGGGTCTGGAACTCTGCATCCAGGTTCTAGTCTCTGTAGAGATTATAATTCATTCTTGACCACAATTCTTTCCTACTTCATCACAAGCAACTGTGTATGTGTTACCTGTTGGTCCCTGAGCTGGCTGCAGGTGTAGAGTGAGGAGTGAGAAGGCAAAGTCCTTTCCTTTATACCAAGTGGCAGTGATACTAATACATCAGGAAACAAGTGGTTTCCAGTCCAGTGCAGGGAGGTGTGGATCGGCCACCTGAGGGGAGGGCCTAGGTGTTCCCAGCACTGACTCTGAATGTTACTGACTCTGAATATTATTGCAGGTAATTTGATTCTAGAATAAAAAGCAGATCAATTCTCCATTTGTTATCACTTCTCAGAACAGAATATCTCCCTCAGTGTTGGGGACACCTAAGAAGAAAGGATCTGAAGCAATAGTTGGTTTCAGGGTCTACAAATGCATAATAAGGTCCTTGCAGTGGAGGTGAGGATGGGCTGTTACTGCAGAAAGACTTTGGAATGATTCTGATTGGCCAGTTATGGTCTGCGTGACTCTGATTGAGTGCTGTAACTCAGTTTCCCCTGAATAAAACAGAATAAATGGTAAATGGTCTTAGGTTTGCCATGTTGTCTTTGAATGAACCTTAAATCTTTTGCCATTTACTGACTTAAAGCTTGGAAAAGAAGAGCTTCTTAAGTTAACAGCATCTGTTATTTGTCCATGAGAGAGGACTCCCTGGTCAGATCCTTGGTAGACAAGGAGCTGCCAGGAGCATCTTCTCTTCCTCTCTGGGGATGCTGACCTTCCTCTGGATTCTGCTATGTCTCCCAGCGCAGTTGGCTAATGGCCTGGGAACCTGTCCACATTTGCTCTCCTCACATGGTCTCAGGTGAAGGACCAGGCTCCATCCCTGCCCAGATGTGGCTCTTGAGGCTGAGCTTTGGCTGGTAACCAGCTCAGGAGTTTGTGACTTAGGACCTAGGAAACTGTTGCTCCCAGTCAAACCTGCCACAGACCAAACCCAACCTGACACATGCTCCTCAGGGACCCTGGAGTCAGGAGCCCTGGGACTGATGTCGGGGAGGGGCTGCTCCTTTTCCTGAGATCTGTGAGGATCCGGGGGGCCCATCAGTCAATGCCCTGCAGGATCTTTCTCAGGGTCATGGTCATGGGAGGGGCCCAGGGGCTTGGACTAAGACTGGTCTCCCGTTGCTGAGTCACTCCCATCAGAATGGTCTTTCTCTCTGTGGAGAATGTCTGCAGGGCTGGAATCTGGGAAGAAAACTCTGATCTTAGGAAGTTTGTCTCCACTGTGTGTGTCCTGCTCTAAATGCCCAAAACGTAATGCAGAGGGGGATGGAGGGGAGTCCAGGCTGTCAGTCCTGTGTGTGAAGTAGAGTTCACCCACGTGGCACCCAGAAGTAAGAGAGCAATTACTTACGGTATACATGGAGCTGTCCAGTTACTTGTTTGGTAGCAAAATCTTTTAGTACGACTTGTAGGATATACTTTCCTGTGTCCTTCAGAGTGATGTTCTGGAGCAGGAGGGATCCATTGGGGTATATTGTCTCTCTACCACTGGATGCAGGCCCATTGATAGTTGTTTGAGTCTCTATTACATATGATACAATTTCATTGTCTCCCACTATTTCCTCTTTGTACCAGGCATATCTTTTAAGATCCCCAGGCAGATTGTGGACACGGAGAAGCACATTCTTCCCTTCGGCAGCATTGGGCGGCACTGATTCCATAGTGAACTGGGCAGTGGTGGGCAGGCTCCAGAAGGTAAGCAGTGAGGCTAGGAGGGAAGAGAGAAACTGATCAATATTTGGATCTCTGTATTCAAATGGAAAGACGAGGGTTTGGGTCCTGAGCAGGTCTCTTCATCTCTCAGCCTTGGTCAGAGTATGTGTGTGTCTCCTGTGGTCAAGGTCAGCAGCATGGCCACCTTGACTTCAGCACCTCTGAACCTGTTATTTTTTTCTTTGCCAGCTGTTTGCCCATCTGCCCAGCTCTGCTCCTCACTGTCCTCAGACCTCTGCTGACACTTAGGGACATCCCTGGGAGTAACTGACCCTTTATAGATGCTGTTTTCACTTTCTGACCTGTCCCTGCTGTTTCCTTCAAGGCTCTTGTAGTTGTTTCCTTGTCTGTCTCCTCCCCATGGAACATGAGCTCCAGGGGGGAAAGGGCTTGTCTGATCTTGTTGCACCCCTAGTGCCTGCAACAGGCTCCAAATACCAGCAGGTGAATGAATAAATGTTCCCAGGGTCTTGTACCTGCTGGGGTGTGTGTGTCCAGTTCTGAGGTTGGTGGTAAAGACAACGCTTAGTGCCCCTAGTTAGGTTTTTCTTGTGTTACCCTGACACAAGTTGATATTATTATCATCAGTTTTCAGAAATTATTTCTCAGTGATAAATAACCTGTAAAACTTGCAATAATTTAGGTTTTCTTGCCCCTCACCACCTCCAGATCATGGGTTTGTTCTGCTGCTAAGCCCCCATCCCCATCCTACTCTGCTCCCCAGTCCTCTCACCTCAGATCCAAACAGAAGCCCTCTGTCCCCTCTCAAGAGCGCTGTGCTACCCAGGAGACCCCAGCCAGTCTCTATCTTCCCTTTCCCTGTCCACCCCAGGGATTGTCCTCTCCTTACCGGTCAGCAGGAGCCCCTGCCAGGGAACGCACCGTCTGTGAGCAGGGCCTGAAGGGGACTCCATGTCCCTCCCTCTGTGAGAAAATCTTCCACTTCAGAAACGCTCACAGGCACTGCTCTCCTGAAGCGGGTGATCTGCTGTCCTTTTCCAGTTGTGGTGAGTCTCCTCCTGCTTCTGAGTACTTCCCCTGTCACGGGGCTAGGGGCGGGGTCTATGCCCGGAACTCTTCTTTTCCCTCCCCCAATTCCTCTCTCCCCTGCTTCCCATTCACCTTCCAGCTAAATTTTAGACCCTAGGAACTGCTGAGGCCTCTGCCTTTTCCCACAGTGACTCTCCTTCATTCCCACACCCATTCACATCCCCCCCCCTCCCCCCCAATCTCCACTCCCACACACCCTCTCGCATGCATGACCTGTTTGGACAAGCACAAGCTAGGAGGACATCAGGGTCCTGGGCATTCCCCAGAGCTCAACGTTGCGAGCTCAGCAGCGCCCCCTGGGGCCTCTCTTAACCCTTCTGGTTTATGTTTCAGAGCAGGAGTCCTGGAGGGACATCTGGAAGGAACTCTTGTCACAGGGAAGTCATCCCATTGTGCACGGGATCACTTGTGGAACTTGGTAAAGACAGTGATGCCTACAGGACTCTAGAAATGATCCTTCATCAGCTGCACAACTAACGTGGATGCCCGCCAGGGTGAGACCCATGATGTGGGAGTGGTGTAGCCCCTCTCCCCTCCTGTGCTCAGGGAGGGTCTGATCTGGTTAGAAATGCAGATTTTGACTAGGCAGATCTGCGGTGGACCAGAGACTATTCCTCTGGCAAGCTCTCAGCGGGGGTTGATCTTACTGGACTGTGAAACACTTTTTCTTTCTTTCTTTCTTTCTTTCTTTCTTTCTTTCTTTCTTTCTTTCTTTCTTTCTTTCTTTCTTTCTTTCTTTCTTTCTTTCTTTCTTCTTTCTTTCCTTCTTTTTTTCTTTCTTTCTCCCTCCCCCCCCCACCCATTTACCAAATATTTGTTAAATTTATACTGCTCATCCATACCCTTTTAAGAAGCTGACCATCCAGCAGTGAACAAAACACAGAAATGAAAACCTAAGGCTTATTATTATTATTAAATCCTGGCCCAAGTGTATATTTTACTTTTTTTTTAAGAGAGAGAGAGAGAGAGAGAGAGAGAGAGAGAGAGAGAGAGAGAGAATGGGAGGCTGTGAGGCGGAAAGGGAGGGGGAGATAGATAGAAATAGAGAGAAACATCAACGTGAGAAAGACACATCAATTGGTTTGGTTGCCTTCTGCACACACCTGACTTGGGCCAGGGAGCAAACCTGCAACCCAGGTAGGTTCCCTTGTCTGGAAGTTGAATCCACGACCCTTTGGTACATGGGTTGCTGACCAGTGAGCAACACTGGCCAGGGCTCCAATGTTATTAATAAATACAACTTAATGTTACAGTTGACATTTCTTATAAATATCTAAATTATTGTGTGTGTGTGTGTGTGTGTGTGTGTGTGTGTGTGTGTGTGTTTTTAAAACAACAAAAAACTACAAGAGCTTGGCTGGTGTTGCTCAGTGGTTGAACATCCACCTATGAATCAAGAGGTCACAGTTTGATTCCTGGTCACGTGTTTGGATTGCAGGCTTGACCCCCAGTGGGTTGTACAGGAGTCAGCCAATCAATGATTCTCTTTCATCATTGATGTTTCTATCTCTCTCTCTGCCTTACTCTCTGAAATCAATAAAAATATATTTTAAAAATTGCAGGAGCATTGAAGCACATTTTCAATAGCAAGGCTGATGGAGACCCCTTTTGCTGGGAAGACAACCTTCTCCCCCCAACATTGGTTTCTGCTGTGTCCTGGTCTTACACCAGGGTCTGTCAGCACCACACAGATAGCCCCGAAGGTCCCCAAACCTGGGGATTATTTCCATTTGTGACACTCAGCCCAGCTTGGCACTGAGTCTTCCCCATGTTCTCAAAAGCGCTGGGCAGGTTGTATTTCCACCCAGCAGGAAGGCCTCAGAGAGGACTCTGGGTGTGGGTAGGGGGCAAGCTGGGTGATGACTGAAAAGGGGATCTACCTTCTCTCCAGGTATCACCAGCTTGGCCTATACTTCTAGGGATGGAGACCAGGACTGGGTGTCCCAGAAGGACCTACAGTTCCAGGTGTCCTGGGAATAAAGATGTTGGTAGGAGGTCAGGTGGCTATGAGATCCCTGGTCTACAGGGACAATTTCAGGGAGACCCTATCTTTCCGGATCTGTTGGCTGAGACTGTCCATGTGCTCCCTGACCATTGGGGCAGCCTTTGTCCTCTGTGCCTGGGGAATTTTCTGTGGTCACCCCACCTTGCTCCTGGGTGATGCCAGGCAGGGAGTGGGGAGCAGCATAGGGACCTCTGCCAGAGCAGGTGCTCCTAGGCCCCTGGAAGGAACAGGTGGGACAGAGTAGACACGTGGGAGAAACCCAGAAGGGTCTGTGGTATGGAAATCAGGCTCTTTTTTTCCACTCCTTAGCCAAAGCCATATTATGTGTTAATTTCATGTGTGTCCTCTGTGTGTGTCTCAATGTTGCCACCTAGAGGACAGAAGAGACCAGTGGCCAATGTCAGGGGCTGCACCAGGAATGCTGACCTGCTCCAGAGGGTGGGAGCTGACCCTGAGCTGACCCTGAGCCCTGGGCAGAGATGGGCTCTGACCTGAAGGTTGAGTGGCCATTCATCTCAGGTCTCGGTCACTGTGGGTCACTGGTTGCCTGACTTCATCCCAGGGCAGTGTAAGCCAGTGAGAGGACAGGTGTTGTCCAGAGGAATCCTGAACCAGTGTCAGGAGAACCTTCTCCCCCCGCCTTCCATCTCTTGTTGGGGGATGTGTTGTCTTAGGAGGAGCTCTTTGTCCCTAAGTTTCAAAGGAAGGACCACGTGAGGGTTCTCTTAATTGTTTCTAGAAAGGGCACCAGCCTATGGGGCTGGTCCATAGATTGCCCTGTGGCATTGCATCCAACTCATCTGTGTCCCTGTCTATCATCTGCTCTAGGCCTTTCTACATGGCCAAGGAGCTGAAGAAGCTCCACATGAAGACAGCCACAGGATGGGAAGGCCCTATGGGACCCTCAGGCCCTCTGAGATGGAAGTGATAACAGATTCTGGGTTCTCTTGTCCTATCCTACATTGGAAGTGTCCCAATAATTCCATAAGGGACATATGCATAGGTGACCTAGGGTGCCTCAGCCAGAAATCTGACATGTACGACCCTAGGTACTTAATTAATAATTCCACTGAGCCTAAATTACACAGGAGACAAACATGCAATCCACGAATCACTCACGGTTTATTTACCAGAGTCCTGATGGGTTCCAGAATCCTAGGCAGGCCACCCGGGGATCCGTACTGATAAGACACACACAGTTCACAGAGGACTCTGCAGCTGTAACTCCGCTTGAGTTGAGGCCTCTCACAACGGCTCATGGTCCATGGCTCAGGGTTCAGGGCTCGCGACTCGGGCAGAGCTTTCACTGGTGCAGGCAGGGGGGAGTGGAGAGAGACCCTCTGTGGAGGAGCAGAAAGGATGTCTCTGATCTTCTGTGGAGCTTGCTCTTTTTATGTGTCTTCAGTGCTTAGAGGTGTCTTCAGTGTGTCTTATCAGCAGGTTCCAGGAGCCTTCCTATCTGGTCTTACATATGGGGTACAGATCACTTTATCTATTTCCTACATACAGGTCTATCAAGGGTGCTTATCAGTTTGTTTACATTCCATTCCATACTTTCAGATATCACACTTCAATTCCACACTTTAATACTTATTCAATATTATATTTATCCTTATTACTATTACTACAACAGGAAGTTCCCCTTGTTCCCCAGGACATCATGAGCTGGCTGGTGAGATGTTTTCTGGAGACCACCAGGACCCTGTGATGGGGAGTTGTCACCTGATTCCTTTGTGGTCATGATGGATACTCTTCTTCCCAGCCCTGACTCCATCTGAGGAGAAGCCAGAGTTTGCACCATGCATGTCTCTGTAAAAAGAGAAAGAACTCTTCTAGCTAGCTCCTCCCCAGGAGAAGTCATTCATAAGGTAGAGATGGGGAGTACTATGGTTTTCTGGGAATGAAGGTGTTACATCCTCTCATGGTTAGAAAGTCCCTGTCCTTTTTTGATGACTAAAAGGGGTAAAGGCCTATCCATGTGGTAAAAAACTATAAGAACTTGGCTGGTATAGCTCAGTGGTTGAATATCTACCTATGAATCAAGAGGTCACAGTTCGATTCCCAGTCAGGGCTGGATTGCTGACATCAATGCCTTCGTGTTTATAAGGAACATGCTCCAACCCTGGGTGTCGCATGTGGTGACAGGTATATGTTGTCTGGTTTCCTCATCCATTTAATGAGTATTTAAAAAAAAAAATATATATAAATATATATATTATTTTAAAAAAAATCTTTATTGTTGAGAGTATTGCAGATGTCCATTTCCTCTCTCCCCCCATAGTCTGCCTCTACCCAGGAACCACTCCAGGCCTTCACCATCCTATTGTCAGTGTCCCTTTGTAATGCATATAAGCATATAAGATCTTTGGTTAATCTCTTCCCATCCCCACTTCTCCCTTTTCTCTGATTCTTATTCACTAGTTTATTTTGTTCATTAGATTTCCTGCTCATGTATTTTGATTTTTAGATTCAATTATTGATAGATATGTGTTTATTGCCATTTTATTTTATTTTAAAAAATATATATTTTATTGATTTTTTACAGAGAAGAAGGGAGAGGGATAGAGAGCTAGAAACATCTTGAGAGAGAATCATCAATCAGCTGCCTCCTGTACACCCCCTACTGGGGATGTGCCCACATGCCCTTGAACAAAATTGAATCAGGGACCTTTCAGTCTGCAGACCAACACTCTATCCACTGAGCCAAACCGGTTTTGGCACCATTTTATTATTTTTTATTCTACTTCTCCTTCCTCTTCTTAAATAATACTCTTTAAGAAAATTGGACAAATACATGCAAACAATGACTAAACCACCAACTTACACCATACACAAGAATAAACTCAAAATAAATAAAAG